CCCCCCCCTCCAAGTTAACAGACGTTGTCTGGACCTGTTCCCTGAAACTCTCCACAAAAAATCGAGACCGACAAGAGCCGGCACGCCGGGTTAATCACACCTCAGAGGGCTGACACTCGCAGATACAGAGGCTGCTTCAAATAAAGCCCACCGGCCAATCAGAGTCCTGCTTTTCTCTGATAAAAACCCAAACCTTCAGGCCGGATCAGGAAGCTGGAACTCTCTCAGAGTCGCCTGTTGTTGTTTTGGTGGGGTCCAGTCGATGGTCAGGTGATTTAGACTCTGAGGAGTTCAAAGATGGCCGCTGAGAGCTCAACATTTCTGACATCTGTTAACATGAATGAGAGGAAACCGGGAAGAGTGAGATATTTAGGATGACCCCAACAGATGTGGGCTCCCCCTCTGGGAACAGGCCGTAAAAAACCTGGTCACGCAGGGAAAAGCCTCCACACATAACCCAGAGTCCTCTGTGGTCCACAGAGGACCGTCAGTGGGGATTTAGCTCCTCAGAAAATCTTCTGAAATAACTCTAGTTATCCCTTTTTTTTTCTTTTAAATTCAAGTTTAAGCACACACAAAAAAGGTCCACTTAGTATGTGACATTGTCCTATTTTACGTAGTTTCCCATACGCCACCTTTACATCTCCAACAGAAAATATGGTCCAGAAAATAGCAGTAATAACAAATTAATAATGATAATAAATATTGATAATAATTAATAATCATAATAAATCATCAGATACACCTAATGTGCACCCAGAAATCCTCTCAGATCATTTGTTTCTCATCATTCAGCCTTTCCAGCTTACTCTGTTAGGAGGTTTTGACCCAGTCTTTAATTCCAAAGTTTTTACACATTTGCTATAGTTATCCAAACCTACAGCCTCGTTATCTTTGATTAGCACCCAAACAGCCGGCGCTCTTTGAGACTGATGGAACATTAGTATTTGATGGCTGTACAGAGATTGTAATTTCTATATTCAGATATACATTACGCTGTTTGTAAATTAGTTTCTAAATCAGATTTATTGGTAAACGCAGAGATTAGCAAAACTGGAGTTAAACAAAGTGGATTCTGGGATTTTCTATTTAAAACCATGAAGACTTTGTTGTCAAACTGTTAATGCTGTTAAAAGATGTGTGATAAAATAGTAACAGCATATTTATGATTCAAAGATATGAAATAAAGGGACCAGTTGGACGTGTTGGACAGGAGACAAAAAGCTGGTCACTCCAAAGAAATATGGCTGTAAGGATTTGGAGTATTCTGAAATACAAGTGGGTCTAAAATTTAGACTTAGACTTCCTTTATTGTCATTGGACAAAAAACACGAGGTGAATCTTGACAACGAAATGTCTTTTACTTGGCTACCAGTGTGACAGAGCTAAGACCTTATTCCTACTTAATAAACATGTTTTCTGTAACTAAGAGCTAGATATATACAGGGTAAGAGCATATATATACATATTATTGTTATTACAAAAGAAACAGCAATGAATATTGCACTGAGTTGATTGCAAAAAGAAACAATAAAAGTAACCAAAAACTTTAGCTGTTCATCATCAAGAAGAGGTCCAAGAAAGGAAGCTGAAGGTTTGAAGCCTTGTCTGTTAGCTTTGATCACACAAAAGAGCCCAGGAAGCAAAGAATTAAAGTAAATAGATGTACAATTATGGATGCTGGACAGTTTATCAGCGTATATCTGGAGAATGGAGCTATCGGATCTCAGTAAGATAATGGAGGGAATGGATTTAAATTGGGATTATTTGAATGTTTTTAAAGGGTTGAAGCCTAGTTGAATTTTCCTGTTAAAAATGGCCGCCTGCGGCTGTTTTCCTCCCTCCCTCAGACCCGGTTGGAGCTGAGTCCGTAGGTTTGGGTCCCTGCTCCGGCCGAATGGCGGCTGAGCTGTACTGCCCCCCCCCCTCCCCGCTGGGGGACTCCCTGCTGGACAGCCCTCTGTGTGGAGACCTGATGGAGGACCTGCAGGACATCTCCCGCTCCATCGGGGGGGACAGTCTGGGCTTCGATCTGACCGAGTACGAGAGCAGCGGCTCCGGGGGGAAGAGCTCCGTCAGCCTGTGTGAGTCCCAGTTAAAACACGATAAATGACCAATAAATGACCAACTATCAGGTCAGTAAAACACAATAAATGACCAATAAATGACCAACTGTCAGGTCAGTAAAACACAATAAATGACCAATAAATGACCAACTATCA